TTTCCGCAAAAGCAGCTGCTTTTGAGGAAAGACTTGCCAGCTGTCTACATTGGCTGCTTGAATTTCCGCAAGAACACTGATGATCTCATGTAAGATTGTCACTGTTCTTGCAGAAATACTACGCTGCTCCCGTTCGGGCAAAAGCCCTCTTGCGCAAATGCTTTTGCGCAAGAGGGCCAGTGTAGACAATGCAGTATTGTTTTGCGCAAAAAAGCTCCGATCGCGAAAATGGCGATCGGGGATTTCTTGCGCAAAACTGTGTCTATATTGGCACGGACGCTTTTCCGCAAAAAGTGCTTTTGTGGAAAAGCATCTGTGCCAATCTAGACGCTCTTTTCTGCAAATGCTTTTAACAGAAAAACTTTTTCGTTAAAAGCATTTGCGGAAAATCACGCCAGTCTAGACATAGCCTGTGTGTAAAAAATAAGACTGTTTTCTTAGCACCTCACCCCACAATATCATAATCAATAAAATAATGAGCACTAGGCACCTACATTCATCAAGGGCATTTCTTGCTGCTTTTTGCAGCAACTAGCAACTCCCAATCTAGTTGTACAGAGATGAAAAAACTAATAAGAGACTGATAGCAACCTTACTCCCAGGAGACCTATGTACTGTTAAGCACCATCTGCAAGTCAAGCATAAAAAGTATGTCCAGCTTTAGGGTTCACTGTTACTTGCTCGAGATCTTAAATGAGCCTTTTTAGTGCACCTTATTCATTCTATCAGCTGTTTCTTCCACATCATCAGCGAGTATGGCCCGAGTGACTAGTTTTACCTAGTATGTGACAGCCTGAAGGTTCCTAGCATCTAATGATACAATTGTCCCAATATGGCCAGCAATGCTATCTTGCTAGGTAATAAGGTATTCAGTTCTTGAGAGTTATGGTTCCACACTAATGAGTCCCTTAAGGACCAGAATAAATCTCTGGCTGTATACAAATTGAGCCTTAGCTTCCTGGCTCTACATCTCAATCTCTCCTACAGCTTCAGCTCCCCAATATATCTGATGCTTAAAGCCAATTCACCATTCAGGTCTTAACTTAGAACTTACTAAAATATCTGCAGATTCATTCCTTCACTAAGATGTAGAAAAACAACTAGTATTTATACATCTTGTTAATACACTATGTAAAAAAGGTCTAAACATCTTTAAATCAAAAGGCATGATTAATCTACTACAGAGTTAGTTTACCAGCCTCTATTTTCAGAAAGCTATTTTACAATAAATATGACCAAGATAACTTGTGAGTTAAGTTTGTAGTATTAATCATTTGTGCATTAGATAAACTTATTAGCACATGCACGAGTATGATACACTGAATGAGCGTAGAACCAAACTAGGAAGTGATTTGTAGGCTGGGACAGAAGTACATTTGTAAAGATGAAACAGCTGTCTGAAAGCAGGCCTCAAAAGCACTTCTGAGACCCTAAGATTTTTTTCCTTACAAGAAAAAGTAATGTTGTTGGGAGATGCCAGACTTACAGCTCTGAAGATTCCGGTCTGCTTTTTAGTAAAGAGACAAGGACAAGCTCACTGCAACAGCTTATTATAATGACATAAAACCGACTGTTTTGGAGGGTTAAAAGCAATTCAGAATCAATATTTAAGCTCAGTCCCTTTTCAGAATCTACCTGATCGAGTGCCAGTTGTGGTGGTGTTTGTGATGCTGGCCCTCCAGTGATCAGAAAATAACTAATCTTGGTCAGTTCTGTCTTCTTCTAAGTTTGAGTTATGTTGAAGCAAACAGTCCTGTACCCACTCATCAATGAATAACCATTCAGTCGCTCTTAGTGCTAAACAATTGAGAGGTGCATGAAACCACATACCTGGAACTGAAAGAGCCTTGATAGAGGCCTTAAAAGGTAAGACAGAATGCCTTTTATGGCTTTTTAAAAGAGCTTGTCAACATAATTTCACTTCACCACCCTAAATTCCTTCTCTTGCTGTACTCCTATTTCACAAGATTGAGCTCTTGCCCAAGCTAGTTATTTTCATGATGCAAGTGAGAAATATTAAGGTTGTTGATTTATTTTACTGTGTATGTGTTTTTTTAAGGCAAAAATCTCACACTCCCCCCCCCCCCCCCAAATCTGCATATAACTGATGGAGGGGGAATCGGGTGAAAACATGCCTTGCCTCTTGTAGCATTAGTATTCCAGTCACTAATTTCATTCCCCATTGCGTATTTTCCCCTATATTCATTTCTGGCAACCCTTACAGAGGGTAAACCCCGTATGGAAATACCATTATTGATGGCAATAAGCTTCTCCCAGAGGCACTGTCATCCTTGTTACCCTTCTCTTGAGATGACAAATAGGTATGGTGAACAGTTTTACTAGTGAAAACACCGTTTCTACCCAGAGAGATCCAGAAACATGTCACCTAACACAGACACTCTGGATACCAAAAAGTGTGCCAGTGTGATAGGGTTCAAAACAATTATTTCTATATTTGAGTTGTGGGGTAAAAGAATCTGGAGTATTTCAGACTGGTAGAGAAAGTAACTACTCACGAACAGTTACCGGTAAATAACCTCTTCTTTCATAGTCTATATGCATTCCCCTTGTGGGAGATTAGCAAGCAGTGCTGTCCCAGGTAGAGACCGGGCTACATGTTCACAGCTAAATATGGACTGTAGCACTGCCCTCCCAAATCCCAGCTGGAGTGCAATGCTGAATACAAACTGCAGCTGGTGAAAGTGTGCACCAAATTATAAGTTGCTGCTCTGCACATCTGCAGCAAGAGAACATGCTGAGCACTGGTTTCTTAGCTGACCTATAGATATACTCTATACATCTACTAATCTGGACTCGGAGAGAAAGTCTCTGCTTGGTAGTGGGCTCTCCCTTGGCATCTCTCCCCACATGAAACAAGATATTTTATTTTCTCAAGGGCCTGGTCCTTTCCAAGTAAGAACAGTGTGCCCTTAAATCTACAATATTGAGACAAATTTCCCTCAGTGGAAGTGGAGTCTGGAAAGAAAACAGAGAAAGAAATACACTGAGAACAACATCTTAGACATGAAGCTGGTATGGATTTATGGTGATTTTTTTCCATGTGGACCACAATATAAAGTAGAGTGAAAGCACTAAGCTCACTTAACCTCTCCCCACACAACTTATCAGGATGGCTGTTTTGATTGATAGATGTTCAAAAGAGACTTGTAAAGCCCCCTCCATCAATTTTGTTTGGAAAAGATTTAGGTCTTGGAGAGTGTCTCCCTAAAGGCTGGGGAAGGAATGCTTTTGTTTGCGTACTCTTGTGCAATACATATGCACATGGTTCACTCTCTTATACAAAGGAGACAAAAGTTGTCATGCAAGATCTCTCATGCACTTGCAATAAACACTTCAGAGCAGTTCCACAGCTCAATGCCCGGGTGCAATATCCCACACTTAGGACTGCAGTAGCTATCCAACATTTATTCCCCATCACTGGATGAGACTATCATAGAATACTAGGACTGGAAGGGACCTCGAGAGGTCATCGAGTCCAGTCTCCTGCCCTCATGGCAGGGCCAAATACTGTCTAGACCATCCCTGATAGACATTTATCTAACCTACTCTTAAATATCTCCAGAGATGGGGATTCCACAACCTCCCTGGGCAATTTATTCCAGTGTTTGACCACCCTGACAGTTAGGAACTTTTTCCTAATGTCCAACCTAAACCTCCTTTGCTGCAGTTTAAGCCCATGTTCATCACAGAGACACTAGAAAAAAGCTTAATGTAGTAAACAGAATGAAATATTTGCAATGGAAACAGAAAGAGTCAGATTAATTTTCTTCCACATCTGTGTGTGATATTACCAGGATTAAATTCAGTATCAACATATTCTAATGCATTATGTTACTGGGTTTGTGTGTCTCAGCCTCTAATCCAAACACCTTTGACGTGTCATAGCTTCCCCTTATGTTTTTCCTTCTCTATTTTAGGAGACACACTATTCTGTTCTCTAAATTAGGTATAGCCGCCACCAAAATGCCATTTCACCACAAGTTTTGAAAGGCTGCACTTTCATTTCACAGCTTCTCACTGGGGCAGAGCACTTTGATCTGTCCATTTCTCTGCACATCAATTAGTTCATATCTATGAAAAACACTATCAGCTTTGCACACAAGTACATGTATTGATTTCACCAACTATGTGTACCATACACCTGATAGAATAATGAACAGAAAGAACTTTGTTAGAGGGGAGACATCTGCCATCACAATGGACGTAGATTCTTAACATTCATTTGAATGTAAAAAGTGCCCCTTTGTAAATTTTTTCCTGTAATAAGAATTTTTAAAAAATGTGTGTCAGTTAAGAAATCACATGTGTGGAAAAGGCAGCTTGATGTTCTTTGGGCAATCTAATTTTGTTCTCATAATTTATGGCAGTAGCACTTACAGCTTTGAATAGGCACTATTTTTGTATAAACTAGTAAAAGTTGAACAGTCAATCAAAGAGTACATTAAAATCATGAAGTTTTGCATGAGGGTAAATCATACTTTTTTTCCTGCTCTACTTCTATAGAGGAAAATGTTTGATGAAGATTGATCAGTTTGAATGTAATGTAATTGTAGAGATGGAACACATTCAATTAAGAAACAATTCTACACTTGATTTTCTAAAAGATGCTATTTGGGGTGCAAGTTATGTTCACTCACAGCCCAAAAGTGCATTTTCATTAAAACTTCCAGCAAAGCCTTGCAAAAGCATACAATAAATTAATATAAAGTTCACACAGCACACTTGTTTAATTAAATATAAAATGTAAAAGACAGGCCTCAACATATCAGCAAAGAGGCAGAATAAGTTGCAGTGGGAAACCGAATGCATCAACAGATTTTACAATTAGTTTGATTTACACAGAGAGAGGCACATTCTATACTTACTAGAGACTAAATGCAAAGACTTGAACCACACAAGTCTATAGGCTGTAGTTTAGTTTTGCTGGTTTCACGCTGACAGGACAAATATACGGCATCACTTCTGCAAAGGATAGTTACCTCTTTGTATTGTAGGCTGTATCTTGTGGAGTTTCTTCAAGCAAGGTTACGTATCCCAGTGCACATGTGAGGATGAACAGGACTGTTAAGGTGTGAGCTCTCCTGCAGTTTAGAAAAAGAGTCAATTAACACTAGAAGATCGGAATGTGGGGGGTGGGGGGAAGGGGGAGAAGAGGAGTGGGGGGAGAGAGAGGGACAGAAATCTTACAAAAGACAAACTACTGGGATATTGTGTTGGCCAGGCTAAAAGCTCGATAGATGCTGGTAACACTTAAGGCGCTTTACATTTCCAGTGCACAATGCAGCACAGAACACTGTCGTCACTACACTTACATCCGTGTCTCTCAGGCAGGGCCAGCCCAGAACATGCTCAAATAAGACCCCCATGCCTCCTCGCCTGGGCCAAAATTTTGAAAGATCTCAATTCTCTGGGTACTAGTGGCACCCCCCAAAGTCTGGAACCTGAGGCAACCGCCTCGTGGTAAGGCCAGCCCTGGTCTCAGGCTTATAATTTAAAAAGTTCTCAAACCTACCTTTTAACTTTTCACTTGTAATGCTTCTACACTGGAGGATTTGTAGAAGCAATTGAAAGTGAAGGACACGGACTTGAAAAATCAACTTGACTGAAAATGTTATACCAATTGTTGTTTCACATACATAAGTTTACAAAAAAAGGCCTGACATTCTTCCCTGATTTCTTGGTATGTTTACTTTGTGTATCTGAGAATAGTGCTTTCATTTTTACTAATTCTCAGTACTGTTCACCATTTGTTGGCAACAGAAAAACTGACTAATTGAAGGGACTTATAAACATCAGAGGATTAAAAACCATCTAAATTCTTTTGAAACCATCAGGACCTACTATCGAGAGGTTGCTTAACCCCCCCTTCCCCCCCCCAAAAAAAAAAACCAAAAACACACACACACACACACCTAGAAAGAAATTTTTTGTGGACACATTTTTACAGAGTTTGGTTTAGAGGCAGGGAAAAATCTCAAAATTACTTTAGGTAAAAATGTTGAAGCAATGTATGAGCCCTAATTAATCAATCTGGAAAAAAAGGGAGAGTGGATTTTAAATTTCTGCAATGTACAACCTGAACAGTGAGTTCTTTTGCATTTAAAGAGATTTTCACTTGGGACTGAGAATCCATTTGTTTAGCAAGAAATCCATTGCCACTATAAATTAAACACCACAAGGTCATGTACATATTGATAACTACAAGATGGGTATTTTGGCATTGAATTTGCCACTAAAATCCCATATTCAACACTATTGTAGCTATAGGTATAAATAATCAGCAGAGGAGTGACCAGAAGAAAATCCCTAGTTTTCAATGGAATTGTCTACAGTGAGTATATTTTATAGCCACTCATGTGAGTTAAAACAATAGCGTCAGAAGTTGAGGCACAACATGCCTGCATTATTATTATTGCATACACATCTGCTGATCTCAAACCTCAGAAAAATAAGGTATACAATAAAAACTGCAGTGTTGCAGTAGCAATGGAATCTAGTTTGAAGTTGACAACTTTTCTTTACAAAAACCACACTTTCATTTAATATCATTACCTTGAGTTTCTCACTCTAGCCTCAGCCATAAATTGATTTTTTTTTAAAGTTTGATGAAATTATTTGAGATCAAGCCATAATACAGAAGTGTTTAATTTTTCAGAAGCCTGTATAACACTATTTTGCTACTAAATCTTTAAAGTAATTTAGGTATAAAACTTCAAAAACTGTACAGAATTATTCTAATAAAGGCTAGTGCTTTTGAGAAACTTTGGCTGTGGCTCAGGTTCTACCGCTCTTACATTTCCATACTGTGCATTCATTTCCTTAAAATGCAACTAATCCCACTCAGAGAACTAAAGCAATTCCATCAAAATTCCCTCACCACTTTGAAAAACCAAAGCAACAAATAAAATTACCTTATACTTCAGTGTTTATAAGACAAGTTCTACTCAGAAGCCAATTTTTCCAACAATTCAAGGTGCAAAACATAATCAGCACTCAAACAGGTCCATTAATTCTGATGGAAAACATGCAATACCTCATAGGCAGGTGTAATCCTCTTCTGCCAGTGTTAAGTAGAGTTCAACGTTTAAAACTATCCTTTCACATAAACCAAAAAAGCACAGATGAACTCCAGAAATGCAGAGTAGTTGCTTAAGAAAAAAATTCTCTATTAATTTTGAAAACATCACATTTTATTCACAGGATGCAAGAAAGCAAGCTTCCTGCTAATCAGACGTATCTACATTTTGTCCAGAGCCTCTCTCAGAACACAGGAAAAAAAAACCAGATGATTCAGATATCATATACTTAACATTCATTGGCCAGTCATACAACTCTACTCCTACTTTACACAGCACTAAACTAGTTTAAAAAACCTAGTTAAAATCCCCACATAAAAGGTATTATGCAGTAGGATACGGTGTGTGTTGATCTAATTCAGTTACCCTGAACATAGTCTATTAATTACGGTTAATCGCTGTAAACCAGAATGCTGCATCACTGGAAGACGCTTCAATCTTTATCTGAAGTTTTCAAGGCAGCAAATTCATTTTCATTTATAAAGATTTCATTCTTTGTTTTATTTCTTAAGTGTTCCTTTTATGAAGCAATCCAAGAGGCAGTTACAATGCAGGCATGACTGTCCCCATCAACTACTCCAACTTCTTTAAGACATGTACCTCCTGAAAACAATTTCTTCTCAAAAATATTTTTAGTTCCTCACAGCTTGCTAAATAAGATGTACTCAGCTTTAAAGTATATCCTCATTTGAATAAATAAATGTAGTCAGTCATCTACAAGAACATACTGATGCTCTAATTTCACTCATCCC